TTACGTCTTCAGGGGAAGCAGAGATTTAAAAAACAAGTGATAAAGAAAAAAGTATTCGCCCGCTCAGTTCTTTCTTAAAAGTGTAATACACCTAATTTTATAGCTGTACTATTATTTGTTAACAAGTTACGATTGAAGAAAGAAATCAGTTTCTGATTAACATTGTTTTTCCATTCTCCATTGGCAACATGAAAAATCAGACGAAAAGTACTATTCGTCATTGTTCGTCAGAGCGGTCAGGTGGACCTTTGCTCTTAGTTAAAAGTCTCGTCGGTCTGTTAGTCTGTCAGGTCTGGCAAGGAAGGAAGAAATAGAGTAAAGGAAAGAAGTAAATCATTTGAAATAGCTTAAGCATTATTGCTTTGATTACTCGAATAATTTTGTAACTCCAAAAAATTATTTTGATCGGTTTTGTATACTGAAATAATTTTGGCTGGTCTGAATCCACAATTTAATTTTGATCACAGTGCGAGGCTGCCGAAAGGTAATTTGGAATTTTGTTTTCAAAATATCAGTATGTTTCTGCCAGGTCAACCCCTTGTCAATGATGACTCCAAGGTACCTGGCAGATTGCTCCCATGGTATACGTGTTCCATTCACTGATATCTTCGAGGGACCACCGCGAACTTTTTTTAGTACAATAGATTGCCTTCGTTTTCGAAGTATTAATTTGTCTCGATAATTTGCTACCTGGCCTAGTAACTGCATACGTCAATTTATTCATGTTAGGTGATCTAAACGTTAACTTATTGATCAAAAATAAAATCAGTGAATGTTTTCAATCATATGGCTTTACACAAATTATCGAAGATCCCACTCGTATTACTGAGACAAGTAGCACTCTCTTGGATCCCATATGTCTGTCTGATGTTGAGGTTTGCGGTGACAAGGGTACCATCAACGCTGATATCATTAGTGACCATCAAATGGTTTTCTGTGACCTACTTTGTAGTTTAAATAAAGTACATAAGTATGTGACTTTCAGAGACTATAAACACTTCGACTTAGATAACTTCAACCGAGACTTACATCAAATGAAATGGGAGCAGGTCTTATACTTTAGTGACGTTGAAACCAAATTGAATTTTTTGACTGACAACATCAATGCCATCTTTGATTTACATTGCCCAATTCGGACAGTGCGTGTCACTAGACCGAAAGCACCATGGTTGACCGCCAATTTGAAGTTAATTTTCAAGGAAAGAGATAAAGGGCTGTCTAAATTTAAAAGCAATCCGTCTGTTCAAAATTGGAATAATTACAAATCTTTGAGAAATTATGCATTACAGTCGTTACGGAATGAAAAGTCTGCCTTTTTGGATCATTTACAAAATCAGAGAAATTCCTCTTTATTATACAAATCTTTAAGAAATATGCGCGTTCAAGCAATTAAATCTTCTGAAATCCCATCAACACTCACAGACCCTTACAAAGTCAATGAATACTTTACCTCAGTTTTTCAAAACAGTGATGAAGCGTGCTTTGAAAAAATACTTTACTACAGAACAAATAACTTTTTGCAAAGAAATTCATTTTCTTTTAAGCTAGTTGATTTAGATGTGATTAAAACTGTTATCTGCAGTATAAAATCCAATGCTTCTGGAACGGATGGTATCACGTTACAAATGTTAAAGTTATGCTTTCCAGTAATTGGCATTCATCTGCTACATGTTATTAATATTTGCTTGGAAACTGGATACTTTCCCGACCTTTGGAAGACAGCTCTGGTGACTCCTCTGCCAAAATTGTCTAATCCGATATCCATCGCTGACCTCAGACCAATAAGCATATTGCCAATAATGTCTAAAATTTTAGAACGAGTAACTTATACACAGATTCTAGATCATCTCAATGCACATAATATAATCCCCACCCATCAATCAGGCTTTCAGAAAAACCGCAGTACAACTGCAGCCTTGTCTTATCTCATTGATAGCATCATATCTTCCATCGACAGTAAAAACATGAGCTTGCTGGTACTGTTAGACTTTTCCAAGGCCTTCGATACGCTTGACCATCGACTACTTATTGCCAAGTGCCGCTACTATGGCTTCGATGAAGTTGCCTGCAACTTTATTAGGTCATATTTAAGGGAACGTAGGCAAAAAGTAAATATGAATAATCAAATTTCGACATCAAGGTACATTCAGTCAGGTGTTCCACAAGGCTCAGTACTGGGACCATTGATGTTTTTACTTTACACTGCAGACTTACGTGATAACTTCAAGAATACACATGCTCAATTTTTTGCTGATGATACGCAGATGAAGTGTGATTTTAATGCCGACAATGTCCAGGAACTATGCTAGTAAATGCGGATCTGGATAGTGTTAATAAGTACTGCAGCTCTCACAACTTGAGACTAAATCCCTCAAAATGTTCTGCTATATTATTTGGCAATAAAAGATTATGTGAAAACCTTAAACCATTAATTCACATCAAAGTTAATGGGGAGGAAATTATTTTTTCTGAAATAATAAAAAATTTGGGCATTCACTTTGACTCGGACTTACGTTTTAACTCCCATCTGAATAATGTCTTGAAAAAATGTTATCTATCCCTCAGGCTTCTATTTGCAAACAAACATATTCTGCATAGAAACATCAAAATTAAATTGTGTCAAAGTTTAGTTATTTCTAAAATGTTATACGGCTTATCCATATATTACCCATGTTTAACGTCTATTAACGCAAAACGTTTGCAGATAATGCAGAATACCTGTGTACGGTTTATCGAGGGCCTAAGAAAGTTCGATCATGTATCACACTTGTATCGTAATCTTGCATGGCTAAGCGTTCAAAACCTTTTCAAATACTCCATTGTCAGCTTTACTCACAGGATCATACTAACATCATCCCCTCAATACCTCAGCTGTAAACTTGTTCCAAGGGCGTCTGTGCATAATCTTCAGGTTCGTAACCGTGACACCTTAACTATGCCAATACACCGCACATCACTTTTTAGACGAACTTTCACATACAATGCAATTTTATATTACAATAGCTTAAGCCAGGATCTGAAGACTATCCAGTCCTCCCGGAGTTTTAAAACTCAGTTAAAAAGATATTTACAAGAATTGCAAAACAACCGCTAGCTTAAGAAGTTCTTTCATTTTCATACTTTTTGTATTTTTCGTTAATTATTTTTCCGTTTCTTCATAACCTATTATCTCTTCTTCTTTTTATAGCTAAATTGACACAAATAGTCCTATTATAATGTAACCTATTATCTCTTCTTCTTTTTATAGCTAAATTGGCATAAATAGTCCTATTATACTGTGACTTAATGTTTGTAGTTTCACATTTTTTTTTTGTTTGTTTTTGTATAACTTGTTTTTTTTTTCACTTTTGTACGGGGTTAGATGGTGGAATAGCAGGTGCTAAATCTCGCCCCATGTAATGTACCATGTTTTGGTCAATAAAGACGATTATTATTATTATTATTATTATTATTATTATTATTATTATTATTATTATTATTATTATTATTATTATTATTATTATCAACCCCCGATCCGCCCAATCTAATACTTCCTCCACTGGACTCTGCAGCCTGTCGTGAACCAGATTACCAGAACAAGACTGGGCTAGCAGTACAGCGTCGTCAGCATGGAGATAGACTTCACAGTTGCTGGGGCACAGGTTATTAATTTTGATCCGAAACTTCCTTACTACTAGAAAAGTTTAGTAGCCAAAATAGAAAATCCTTTTGGATGAGCTTATACAAGAGGCCCTTGTGCCACACCTTGTCAAATGCCTTTGATACATCTAAAAGAAAGATACCAGTACTTTTGTTCAGGGTGAACCCCCTGGTTACATGCTCCACCAGTCTAACTGCCTGTAGCTCCGTACTATGCTCAGACCAGAAGCCGAATTGTACGTCAGGAATCACATGGTGGTCTGACGAGAAGTTCTCAATGTGACGATAAATCACCTGTTCAACGGGCTTACAAGGGACAGCAGGTTAATGGGATGGTTATCCTGGGGGAATATCGTATCTACCTTGTTTGGGATTATGTTAACTTCAGCGATCTTCCACGCCTTAGGAACTTCAGTGCTTTGTTGGTGATTTGATTCCCTCCAGGTGGTTTACGCACCTTTAGGTCCTTAATGTGGCCTTGGAGCTCTGCTGGTGTGCAAGTCGTCCATAGAAGAATCTTCTGAAAAGGAGTCACCGATGTTAGCAGTGCTGTTGTTGTCGCCATTCGCTCTGAAATTCCTCGTGACAGATCCTAAAATTTGTCGTTTCTCGTCAAGGTTATTGTCCAGATCATAATTAAGAGAGAATTGCTTTAACATAACGTCAGCAAAAACCTCCAATCTATCCTCAGTCCTGAAAACTGTACCTCCAGGACCATGAATACGTGCTAGTTGTTCTTGCCTTCCGTTTCGGAGCGATTTTGCCACTTTCCAGAGAGGAATACTTGATTCAAGCATCCCCGCCACACAGTCGCTCCACTGTTCACTGCGTAATTTATGGAGTGCATTTCTCACTTCATGGACGAGATTCACCGCTCTACGAATGTCATCATTATGACAAGAGCTTTTTGCTTACTTAATCGCAGACCTATATTTAGAAATTTTCCCACGGATGTCAGCAGGGAGGGAGATGAACAGTATTAATATTCCTTCGACAGGCTTTCGAAAAAAATAGGGACATGCGACTTTAAGATTTGTAAATTGTTGTAAAAAGTATCAGTAGAATAATTTTGGATTAAAATCCAGGCGACTTTCATATGACAAATCAGACACCCAATTTGCATCCATCAACATATTGTACATAAAATCTGAGACTACCCTGTTCGCGTATAACATGCATATCTCTCCAATCCGACCACACTCCGCCACGTCCATCACCGTCCGACGTCCGTCCCTTTGTGTCGTTCGCCGTGGACGAAGACGTCGTTCGTCTACCGCCTGCCAAACGCTGCCGACGCCACGCGTCGCGACGCTTGCGCCCACCCGTCGCCTTCCACAAGGCGACGCTCGGCGTCCCGCGACGTTCGGCCAGTGCATACGCGGACGCGGTGAGGCCAGCGTCGCGACGGTGAAACAGTTTGTCATGGTAAACACGACGCCGGTGATCGTGAAGACCCACCAATGTACTGGTTGTTCTTATCGTGAATTGAACAGTGCGGAAACGTTGTCGGAAGATATATCGTTGATATTTGCGGAGATATCGAGTTAGGCGGCTGGTCAATCCGGTGTTTCATTGTACTGTTGTACAGAATTGTTTTCAAGCTCAGAATGTTCTAAGTGATAATGGTAGTGTGTAAATTGAACAGCTTTGTAAGCATCATCTTTTTATTATTACTTTTCGCCTACGTTATTGTTTATTGAATAAGACTCAATCGATTACCTAGCTAAAAAAATCATTGTGTTTATGGATGCTCTCATGTGGAGGAAACATTCTTCAAAATGATCGTAATTACACACGCACAATCAGAATCCGCCTGACAATAGAACACGTTGTGAAATTAGACCTGGAAAGACGTGAATCCTCAGGTTTCACTGGCCATCAAATAAAACCACATATATGTAGTACATAAATAACAATAAAGACGATATATTTCATTAATATGTCTTCTAGATATGTCTATAATTATATTATATAAATCAGTACCCAAACCCTAAAAGAGCGTGAATATACCGAAGTATAAGCATTCTCTATTAAAGCCTGGTACCGAAACGCAACTACTTTGCACGCCAAGTTAGCAGCGCCGTACAACGTGTGCACTCTCTTCGATTTTGGTAACCGAAGACGCATTTTTGTTTCCTTGAATTGCTCAAAATATTAGCGGTTTTAGTGACGTTGACAATGATCAAAATATCATTTAGACACGGTCAAACCTACAAAAATGTTGTACAAATATTTTGTCAAACCTCTTGTAACTACTATTTTGAATATATTATAGAGGCCATTTAGTCTGAGGTACATTAAGCCTATATTCTCCTTTGGATAAGATTCGTTTTGGACATGCATGGTTAGGCCTCATCAGCACAATAATTCGAGCTAGTCATACGCTAGACGTACAACGTTAGCAACATCCAAATGTCGTGCAAGTTGCGCTGGGCACTGAGAATCAATAATGCTGACATTTGGAGATGACAAACTATATACGACTATTGTGTGTATTTGTATGGAGGATCGGCAGTATTATTTTTTGTGAAACCATCCATAGGGCAAGAAGAATTTAATGTTTTGAAATCTTCATCCTCTGAAGAAGTACTATGCCTTGACAATGAAAATTGCCTCAAAAGTTCCAAAATATTTTAAGTACCTCTAGTTACGAAAAGCTTTGTACACTTGTCTTGTAGCTCGTGTTGCTTAAACGTCAGGGAACAGCGATCATAGCGAGCAAACGTGAAATGAACTACACACTAAAAACTACCTAGATGCAGTTCTTTTTTTTTGACGCTTTTTAGGTTTTTTACATAACACATCTGCTGTATGGTTATCTTTAAATGCTAGTGTAAATTTTTAAACATTTTCTTTGTCTGTTACTCTTAATAGTCTGTGGTTCAGTTCGGACATCGTGACACCTTAAACCCATATGATAATTTTGTTTTGTGATCTGTTTCCATATTTCTGTGTCATCATCAATTCTAAATCATTGATTGAGTGAGGCTCCGAGCACTTTCATATGTCGTCCACATATCGTGTTGGTGAATCTGGCTTGGCATCTCGCGCCTAGTACCTTTCCCTGTATAGTCAGTCTCTTCAAACTATCTGTACGTACTACAAAAATAGGCAATGCTCTCCAGGTGACAGAATTAGGCAACATTTTTGTGATGTTCAACTCTCTGAGAATCGACTCGTCAGTTCTTCTTACCCTTCACGCTTCTAGAGCATCTATAGTCTGCTTACTACCTTCCTTGAGGCCCATATCGTCAGTCGTCCCTAGAATTGTAGGGCGCGATTATGGCCTCCTTGATTGTCATACTCCTTTCTCTCCTTCAAAAAATTCTAGATTACACTTGTCCCGTGTCAGCGTCAGCGCTCTCCTATTCTGAAGAAATGTTCTCCTTTTAAATTGTAGGAAATTTGAGGCTGATAAAACATGATATAACTCAAAAGCAAGCACAGTTTGATGCAAATAGTTGCTTGTGACATAACCTCAAAATAGAGCGCTGACACGGAGAAGTAGAAAACTATGACAATCAAGGAGGCCATAAAGGCGCCCTACAATTGTAGGGACGACTGACGATACGGGCCTTAGAGACCAGCATTAGGACGCTTATAGAAAAATCTTTGTATGGTGGTTGTATTTTCCTATACCTTAGTACGCTACGTCGTTGCACCCTTTACCACTCCTGATCTTCTTTTAATTTCTCGAGTGCATCCCCCAGAATTTGCTATGAGAGAACGTCGGTACATACATAAGCTGGCTCCCGACCTCGACGCCGTTAATCAACGCTGTCCTGTTGTTCTTTCTTCCTATGTATAATCATAATTTTGGTTGTTCGTTTCTTCCGCTCAAGCAGCTCGACTGCGTCCTCTTCAAGATTGGTATGAAGCGTGGTGTCATAGGAAACTGAAATTTCTGGTAATGAAGTTGCTGCTAGAATTTTAACATGAAAATGATAAAACTAGTAGAATAGCTTTCGTTCGCCCGACCACATAGACGGCCAATCAGGACAGCTGTTTCGTGCTACTGGGCAACACCTCAGAATTGTGTAAAGATGAACAACTCCACTATTCAGAGGTTTATCGAAATAAAAAAGTTAAAATCAAGTATCTTCGTGACATTCCTGAATTCAATTGCTAATTTTAGAAAAGGTTTGCAACTGTAATGTTTGTAGTGCCTTTCAAGACATTGAATCCATAATCGGATAGGCCTAATCACTCTCACTCACCTCAACCTAACTTAACCGAACCTAACCCAACGCCTTACGGGAAATGGTGTTAGATAAGTTTAGGTTTAGTAACTTCACTCACTCGACATTAGATTTGAGGTTTTGATTTACACGTAACTTCATTAACTTATACGGTAAACCCGAAAACATTGAAAAAGGAATGAAGAATGAAGTATGGACTAAATAAAGTTGATAATCGTTCAACAAAGGTTTCGGACTCCGAATCGTGATATGGAGTGTTCATATTATTTATAGTATTATTTAAAAATTTGAATATACATAATAACCTTTACGAGGAAAATGTTCATGGCCATTTTGCATGAGTGGCTAAATTTCCTCTTTCTTTTCTCTTTCCTTCTAAGCAAATACCTTTAACCTCAAATAACCCCATTGATGTAATCCAAAGATGTTGAATGAGACGATCTAGGGTACCAATTCTATTAACCGAGACGAACGAGGCCAGGAAATCCCTCATGAAGTATTTGAGTAGCTTCATGGGATATATGGTATTATTGAAACTAAACATCAGTAGTATCCAAATGAAAATTTATGCTGTAATCCTACGAAGGCCCTATTTTTCAATTGCAGGATAACTGAGATCTTACAGCTAACCAGAAATTAATTCTTAAAAAGTGTTTTTCAATGTCTCTTCAAACTTTAATCAGAAGACTACCTACCAGTTAACTAGAAAGTTGTAGTTAACCCGCAATTACAAACCATTCTGATTGGCACTGAGATGAGTTGTCGCTATTGATACGACAGACAGATATCGAGCAAAGCCCATAAAACATATAATAAATACATTTCAGACTAGGGGCGATGTCGCCACATCAAATGTAACGTGTTAGTTAACCAGAGACCAGAAAACAAATTTAGGGACAACTAATAGTTAAGTTAAAATTAATTTGAAAGTTAACTAGTGATTGAAAAACCGGGCCGAAATCTCCTTAAGCCACACGTTTTACGTACATTGATATAATATAGTTCAGGCAGAAAGAAGCCATCAGGCATTCATGTATTGGAAAAGGCAAAATGATCTTGGAAAATTTCGATAAAAGATTTTCCTGGAACTCCTGCTCCATACAACACTATTCTGTGTACTTTATGGCTGAAAATTCCAATCTAATGGTACAATCTGTTCTTCCATTTAATTCTAACCTTTTATGAATCTTGGTACGGTCCAGACAATAATATTTATAAAAATATACAAATTCTAACTTGACATTTCCATCATATTACGTTACCGATTAATCAAACGTTCCATATGCAACATTCAGTTCTCAGCTACACCCATATTTCCAAATAATTATTATACAAGCCGTCCGCTTGTGTTTTTGACGTGGAGCGTCAATGCGAGTAACACATATCAAGCCTCCAATTAAAAAAGTATCCGATGCAGCAAAAGTATATCGTAAATATATAATGGTCGAACGATAAAATTTTCAGCATGGTATAAATCTCTATGAACTCTACCGGTACACAGAGCGCTGTGCACCTACGTGAATGCATTTTTGATTTTACGACTCCTATTTTTGTCGGATTGATCGCAACAAGCCAATAGGCCTTTGTGTGTTTATCTAGTCTATTATTCTGGATCATAACGAAATAATAATACAGTGTTGATTTGCCATGGTAGGTCACCATAACATTAACAATTACCGTCGAAAATTTGTTGTGCCGTATCTATTCCAGGGACGGTATTTTCGTTCTTCAAAATGCAAAACGTTGAAACATTTGCGCTTGCTTTTGATGCACCTGTAGATATATGGTATTCCTATTTATCTCACGCTCAGCGTTTTCGGAAAGCGCTTGTCGACTTCAAAACGACTACAAAGTGGTTGGTGTTTTGCTTATCGCAATCTCTATTTTTATTTTTATTTTTTCCTAGAGTGTTGTGGTAGTTTTCAATAAACCCCCAGTAGCAGTTTACTGACGTTAATTTAATCAGAAATATTGGTACTTGAAGAGGCAAAGATTTGAGGCCAATTACCTCTTTGAATTCTCGTTGTTTATAAAAAAAATGTAACACTATTAGTCTAATCATATTAGGCGAAAATACCCCTGGTTTTGCGAAATAATATTAAGATCTGGTTTTATTGTTGCAAGTTGTTCAACAAATAGGAAATGTTTGAATTTGTTTAGAAGAAAGAAAACGTAACCTTCGTTTTTCACATAAAAATAACATTTTATATATTTATTTATTTTGCTATTAAGTGCTCTTTGAGCGAACCCTGTACCTATATTGCTCAATAAACTAGTAGTGATGGCCGGAAAACCGTGTTTTCAGATAAACGATTAGAAATTCTCAAAAAGTTACTTGACCAATGTAATCCAATTTTGTTATTGTTATTAAGAAGTATAAATCCTACGGATTTGAAGAATTTCAAGTAGTTGCATGAAACTATCGTCGCATTACCAACAAGTGCCAAAACCTGCAATTTGCCTCGTTCTTCGGCTAATAACATTTTTTCTATTAGTGGGATCTTTTTAGGTGTGATCTCATTTTTTAGGTCTCATAAATACCTAAAAATTTTATGTGGAAAGTTTTTTTGTTCCTGTCAAAACTTTCGATTGAATCCCAAAAAACGCGTTTTCTCATTCTTTGTTGTCAAATAAAAAGTTTTCCCACAAAAATTGATGTACCCGTTTTATGCGTCCATATTTTAAATACCTCCTAATGAATCACTTATGCTTTTATTATAAAATAATTAATTCTCTACCTATTGTGTCAATAAATAAAGCAAATCGTCCTTCAGTTAGTGTAGTATACAGAAGCTTATATATGAATGTGACACTATTTTTCAAGATAATTATCTGCATTGCATGTCTTTGCTAGTGGAAGCTATCAACTTGATATAGGCAGAAATCATACTTTAACTCTCAGACGACACTCTCTCTCGCTCTCAACCGAGCGTATGCTAGCATTGATGACGTTGGATATAATTTTGAACCACTAAGAGCATTCATAACCATCTGTTCAGCTTCTACCCGCTTACATTAAAACAGCTTGTGCTGATGTTGAGTTTTGTTTTTAAAACAATTAACATTGTATGTATATTTGTGAGCAATGGTAAGAAAACAGAAAGGAGTGTGCATTAGTCCAATCATTTTGTGTTCAGATAGGAGGTTCCAAATTTCCACTTTCGGCACCTTGTACCGTTTACACTAGAATCATCACAGTGAAAAAAACGTACCAATTTTTACAGGCTTTTCTGAAATATACAAAGTTTTCCAACCGAGTTATTTGAGTAAAGTAAGTTTTGCGTTTACAAACCCCTTGCATAGATGATACAGAAAATTCAAAAAACGTTAAATTGACAAGAAGTTATGGGATACGAAATTCATTTTGAGTGATGAAAGTTTGCTTTCTATAATTGTACAAAAATGACTAAGCAAGCTGTCATGTTCAAGTGTTTTTTCGGAAAAAATAGGGCGTAATTTCAGAGGCAGCTATCCAAAACCTATTGTATGCTTTGTCAAACTTCTTCCCTTGAAGATGCCTAATATGATATACTAAAATATACAGGTCATTCTATTTAAAAAGTCTATATTTGTGTTTCAAACGTTAGTTAGGATTGAATCAGCTATAAATTTCCGGAATTCTAAGACCACATTCACACATTGGAGGTAGTACGATATTCTATCATACATTGGTCGTTGGCCGAATATGTAAATGCGACATAAAAAACGAGAGCTACATTATACAATACCGAAAGAAATTATCTAATATAACTGAACTATGAAAACTAACAAAACAAGATGTAAAAACTCATTCTGTTTGCTTATCACCAAAACACCTGTGTAACATAACGCTTTTCAGGCCCACTAACCCAACACCAAATCATCATCAAAAAAACTGTACATGCCTGTGACCAACCGTGTCCTGTGAACAATCCAACAACAAAATATCAATCGAACGATCGACCTAAAAAAAGTTTGATCGGGATGTGCCGGAGGTGAGTTCGTGTCGCCTCGGCCTCGGGCTAGTGATAACAACTAACAGGTGCGTTATCTTATCTGAAAAAGGATAGACGATATCACAGTGGTGAGGAGAGGAGATTCAGATCATTAGTAAGAAGGCAGTGCCGGTGTGTCGCGTGTCGGTAATGTTGAATTCGTTGGAGGTGTTGGCCGGGAAACTGTCGCCCAGGCAAAGTTCGGGAGTTTCAGCTGGCGGGGGAGGACGAGGCGCTGCAGCGCATAACCACCACTACAGCAGTTTGCTGGATACCAACGCCAACAGGGTGCATCCATATCTGAAAAACGCCGCGCTTAACAAGTAAGTCAGCCTTCTGATTTGTTTTCACTTAGATCTAGAGAAAAGTGTCCTGAACTATACCCTTTCCCTAAAATGGACCGCTTGGCTCTGCATTTAACATCTATCATTACCAAGAGTAAATAGTAACTTAGGTATCTACCACGCCATAGTGGAGCGCATGCGCACTTCGCATGAAACTTGTTTGCCTACGATTATGTCATCTCATAGTGAAAGAAGTGTTTACTCACGCTGCAATGTTCATTGTTATCCGTAGATATTTGCATGTAAACCGAACTCGACCGATTTTATCGAATTCTTGTCAGTAGGAGATACATTAAAAAAACTGTTGAAACATACCTTTTGGGGCCTTAACAAGTGATTCACGTACGAATTGAATTGCAATTCGAAGTTTTTCTAATTTCTGATGTTGTTTTGACAAAATATTACCACAAAACATCAAAAATGATACCTTAAGCCCAATTTCTTTGTTCTATCATTGACATTGCCATAGCAAGTGTCTGATGTTCGACAACATGTGTGTACAGAGGTACGATAATCTATGGACTTTTTAGCATTAATGTGCTAGGTCAAAATGTTTAGGTGTACCGTAAATGCCCAGAAAGAAAATATGTAATTAGGCTTACGTACATGTGTTTCCACGCATAGTAGTTGTTTTTTTATTCTAGATTTCCTTCCCTGTGAATGGCGGCGACTGGGTAGCGCCCTGTTAGTGGATTTGAGGTTATCTGGGGCTGTGGAGTTCGAAATTTTACCAGATTTTCAGAATATAGGTACATCAATAATATACATCGTTTGATTGGAAGAATTTGCATCTGCCACATAATAAGGCAATTAGGTACACTGTATTTTTTCAGATTTTGCGTTTCAAATGATGTTTACTAAGTAGTTCAAAATGATTTCATCGAAACATGGACATAACTATTAAAAAATCGAAATCTATGAATTTCGTAGACACCCGTACCTCAGTCGCTTTTTCAGACATTAGAAAGTATGTTTTAGCATCTTTTTCAATATTCTCCCAGTTGTAAAAATTCGATAAGTCACGGGTCTTCACCTAAGCCGTTACACCTATGTGTCCTCTCAAATAGTGAGATACTAGATTCCCCTTATGTTTAACTGTTGATTGACATTTTATTGGATACACAAGTTTTTCGTTTTACTGGCGTAAAGTGTACCCTTCTCATTTGCCTAAATATGCGACGATTACTTTGAAATCGCCGTTCAGGCTCGAAGAGTTTGTAAGGAAAAACTAATAAAACGAAATTGAGTCCTTCTGGAATGGATCGAGTTTTTCAAAATAAAAACTTAGGGCGAAAGAGGGCAGGAATTAAACACTACATCTGTTTCAAATATATTCAGCATCCTTACTTAAGAATATAATCTTAATTGAGGATTTACACCTTTCACTGACGATTCGATTTTCGAATCTTTAAATCGATATACAGGGACCTTGGAAATTATTTTTTTATTAAAACTTTGAACTATATATTCATAAGAGTGAGACGTAAATGATGCTTATCGTTACAAAGTAAATATCACACGTTTTTAGAACACTTTTTAGCTACTTTCCATATGTTTTAATAGCAAAAGCATTTAATAGCAAAATGGGACTCCGATCTTGAGCACTCTTCCCTAACAGTAGATCCGTAGTATGTAAAAAAGGACATATCACATTATTCATACGAGAATCGCTCTGTCGCTACTTATTTCATCTGGTGGTGCCACTATTACATTTTAGAACAACATGTGCATGGATACAAAGGCTAGTGCTAGTACCTATCGCATGGACCTATATCCTTACTTATCGTCGCTACTGGTGTAACAATATGCTGCCTCGTTATCTGAATCGGATTACGTCTGTTCATTATGCTATCTCTATAATCGTACCTTATACGGATAGTGTAGTAGGACTTGATAAAAGGAAGGTAAACGTAAAGTAGTTGCAATGAATGCCAGACAGAGAATGTTTTGGTGGACACAGGCTGGGCGGAACATAGGATAATTCAATAGCTGCGGCGATTATTTAGCAGTTTTGTATAAAATGTTATCCAACAGATCATCTCAATAGGTTAGAATATTTAGTAATGGAGTATTTGTATGGCCAAATGGCCTTTCATATGGCTCTAACGAATAAATAAGTTTCCGGAGATATGAGTTCGTTTTTTTCTCTTATGAAAGTAACAGATATCCTGTGATAGTCGACATCTAGCAAGGTACTCCAAAATACATTCAACATTTTGAAATGTGGTTTATATTAGAATTCAATTATCATAGAGAAATGTTCTGAACTTGCCTGCCATCACCATGCCGTTAGTAGATTTAGTTTCAGTTCAACAGGCAGTTTTCTTTTGTGTCATAGTCTTGACTGACACTTAAAATATTGATATAGTGTAGCACTAAGTTACCACGTTACCATATCTTAGGAGCCTCTTCCAAAGCAATCATTCCAAGTGCCCTACAAACACATTTGACTCTCAGGACAGCTTCATGACGACGTCGTCAACATGTGGCTTACAGCAATATACTTTGCAATTGTCAGAGAGTTTTTGATATGCAAAGCTATGCCAACAAGCATCTGCTGCACAAACTAAGAAAACCCTGACCCTCGACAGAAAATTATTCAAAACCAGACAGAAAATTGCTTCTAGTTCTTGAACGACTTGTCCGATTTTCATAAAAACAACATTTTACGTTGCTCACCTCCACGTTCATCAAACTTCTATAACGTTTGAAAAGATGAACTGATTGTCATAAAACGTACATTAGCCATCTCGACAACAGACACTGGTACACACCTTAGGCTCATAAAACTCCTACTTTTTGCTGAGTCTTCTATAATAATTTCAATTATGCACAACAAACTGTTGTGTTTAGTGTTAGAGTCGTCTTAAGTCCTGTAATTGCTTCATTCGAATGATCTAAAGCTGTTGTATGTTGGCCCACATTCAAAACGATTGTCAATCGGATACCTGGAAGGTGATGTATTACATATGTGTAGACAGCTATACCCCATTCGTAGTCCATTTACGCCCAGACAAGACCCAACATGTCCAAAAGCGGGATTGTACAGGTACGTATTTTCCTCATTAGTCTTGGAATGATCGAACAAAATAAATGATTTTTTTATAGAAAGAAGTGCAGATACTTTTCACAATTAAATACTTGAACAAACGTCCGAATGGTAAATATTAATCATTACAGGTTCAATTTTGAATATCATATTGTCCAGATCCCACATCTTTGTTTGGATTGTCTCTTGAACGTGACGGATCCAATCTTTGGTTTGCCGTCACTCTGTTGACAGCTTCATAAAAAGAATTTTTCACGTCAGAAAATTTGAATGGTCTATTGTCTGAAGCCACATTTTTTTTATATTTGCCCAAATCATTTCAATGAGATTTAATTCCCAGAGATAATGGGACAGCCTTAAAACGGTTTTATTTTGGTTTTTAGTCATCTTGTGAATAACATTAAGTTATATTTATGTTCATGCTGCCGGACTAGATGGATAAGTACTGCTTTGACCATATTTCTATTGAAACTAATGTCTTTTGATAGGAGCCACTGTTGAATTTCTGCTTTTCTTGTGGACATTGTGGGAATTTTTTCTAGTTTTCTAGACTGGTATGCAGCATTATCAAGTATAATGACTGCATTGTAATCAACCTTTGGGAGCGTTTCTTCAAACCATCGTTCAAGTGAACCGTTCATTTCTTCATGGTAGTCGGTTGTTTTCTTTGACTCAAATGCCCATATTGCAGTGGGCACAAGGCCATCTTCACTGCCAATGTGACAGATAACAAATCGTTTTCCTTTTCCTGGAAATAAGTATTTCATATAGTATTCAAGAAAGCTAAGAATAATACAAGCAGAGTATCTAACAGGTGTCAGTTTCAGATCTACCAGATATAGCTAAGTTTGGTGTAGCTAAGTTTTTAGCGTGGGCTCATAGATTCAGTGTACTCGACACCATATTTACAACACAAATGACGAATTGGTTAGATACACGTACCTGATGGATTCTTTAGGTCAGTGGGTTAGTCCATTTAAGAAGGCTTCTCTTGCTGATTTAATTGTACAGTCAGCCCATACTTTAGGTTTTGTATGTCCTGCATTTATTTGGGTTTCAATCAAGTAAAAAATCCCTCGTCGCGGTATTTCTTTATTGAATTTATATAATTTCTTCTCCATAAAATAATATCTTGACGGTCCATCAAAATACTACTTCTGCCCCGTTTTCTATACTCAAAATGAAGTTATTTGAGTAAGCTATAAAATGTGGTCCTTTTGAAATTAGGTAAGTCTTCATCACTATTAACCTCCTGCAATACATTGTCTATGGTGGGAAGTTTCTGCATTTAAAAAAAATGATGGATTTTGCGTCTAATGGCATTCTGATCGAAGTTATCAACTGTATCCAATAGCTTCGTGTAATGCAGGCTCTTGTGCGGTGGAGACGACTTTTTGTTTTTTATATATTCTTTAACAATATTGAAACTTCTCTTGGGACATAAGCCTGTTTTGTTCGCTACACTTCTTTTAATATCATGATTTTTTATTTCAGGATGCTCTTAGATTTCGCCCTTAAAAACGTTGAGTACAATTTTTTTTGCCTGAATATTCAAATGTCCCTTCTTGTCACGTTTTCGTGGAGGAGACGTCACTGATGAGGAAGCATGGCTGAATGAAGCATTGGGAGGAATATTCTCAGTTTTATCTGCTGTATCAGTACACGACATGCTAACGTACAAACACACGCTATGTATGCACCGAATATGACCAGCAACTGCCGGCGTCGGCGTGCCGTCGATACCCCGAGACTAAGTTCTATCCTGTCGTATCCTGCAGTTCGTAGTTTTCTGGTCGAATGGCGAATAGCTATTGCAACACTTAGGATGCTGCCGCGCTGCATCTTTGTTGCGCCGGGGCGTAAATCGACTACGAATAGGGTATAGATTCATCGATCTTCACTTCATACTACCGTATCATAGACACAGTCA